GATACGTCGTAATATTATTATCAACTTTAGATTGAATTCGAAGATGGACAATATGGGTCCATTTCCTCTGGTACTTTCACAACCCCTCCACCCCCCAAAAAAGGTCAACATTTTCTACGAAAATAATTAACCTTATAGAACAAGCAACGATCATCCAATTTTGTGCAAAATTTGCAAAACCTAAAATTATTATCAGTACTAAGTTAGGTGTGAAAATGGACAATATCGGTCCACACCTGTGCAGGTACCTCCCACACAAAGGTTCGACATTTTGAATAATTATGACTCTTATAAGATATGAAATACGTTTCCGATTCTCTTTAAATTTCAAACATTTCAATCTTTCTACTAGCACAAGATATGCTCTGAAGATGGGATATATCGGACCACTTCTTCTGGTACCTCTCCCACAAAGGGTCAAAATTTCGAATATCCATGAAGTCTATAAAACTCGAAATTAACATTCGATTCCAATCCAGACTTGATACCTCTCAATATTTCCATCAACACAAGATCTGTCATAAAGATGTTAGAGATTGGACCATTCCTTCTGGTACCTCCCCCACAAAGGGTCAAAGTTTTGAATAACTAAAACGATTATAAAATCCGTAAAAAGCATTCGGTTCTCCTCATATTTCGCACATCCCATTATTTCTACTAACACAATATCTGCATTGAAGATGGGATATATCGGTCCACTCCTTCTGGTACCTCTCCCACAAAGGGTCATAATTTTGAATATCCATGGAGTTCATAAAACGCGAAATTAACATTCGATTCCATTCAGACTTGGCACATCTCAATATTTCTATCAACACAAGATCTGTTATAACGATGGTAGAGATTGGACCAATCCTTCTGGGACCTCCCCCACAAAGGGTAAAAGTTTTGAATAACCAAAACGATTATAAAATCCAAAATAAGCATTCGGTTCTGCTCATATTTCACACATCGCATTATTTCTACTAACACAAGATCTGCTGTGAAGATGGGATATATCGCGCCACTCCTTCTGGTACCTCCCCCACAGAGGGTAAAATTTTTGAATATCTATGAAGTCCTTAAAACGCAAAATTAACATCCGATTCCAATCCAGATTTGATACCTCTCAATATTTCCATCAACACAAGATCTGTTATAACGATGGTAGAGATTGGACCATTCCTTCTGTTACCCCCCACATAGGGTTAAAGATTTCGTCACTAGCTGAGGATAAATTTTCGGGTCGGAAAAAAAGACTGATACTTCTTAACTCGTTTTTTTACATTTCAATTTAATTTGGTAGACCAGTGTATTCGTCCTCCCGTCTATGTCATGAACACTCACACATATATATGTATGTTAAAATTGGTATAGGTAAAACAAAAACCGCCGAACTTCCGGTTAGCACAAGAAAAACCTCTTCAACATTTGTTCGTCTCCTTCATATTGTCTGTCTGTCTGACGTCAAACCTCGACTTTGGTGGTAGGTACTGCATCCATTATTCATTCTAAGACATTAGAAATCCATAATAATTTTGCGTATTTTACCGGATGCCATCTTCTTCGATAGGGAATACAGAATTGTTATTCAATTGATTTGAGTTTTATCACTGATTGCAGCAAACTAATGACCCTGTATGCGAAATAACAGAAAGACGTAAAAATGTGATCCAAAGATAAAAAATAATGGGGTTCCTCTAAGGGTTTTCTTCCACGATTGTCCGTGAAAATTTATTTTTCGAATATCCACGAGTGTGGTCTTGATATCCTTCAATTAAAACATCTTTAAATTATCCAGCAATAGGGTCCTGATCATCCTTTAAAAAAGAACGACTATGGACTTTATTGTTCCTGAAAATATTCTTTAAAAATCCATGAGTCTCGTTTGGAGGGTCCTTGAAAAAATATTCTTTAGGGACCATCCTGAATCAAAAAAAAAAAAAAAAAAAAAACATTTTGGATCTGATAATTCTTTTTTTAAGAACCTCACAACCACGGTATTTTCTTAATATTTTATGAAATTTCAGGTGCACAACTTAAAATAAATATGTCTTAAAATTACAAGTATTTGGAGATCTTAAAAAACAAATCTTAAATATCCTCCAAAAATATTCTTAGAAAATTTACGAAATCGATTGTCCAATTTTTTTTTTAAACTCAACAATTTCTTGTTTTTAGCAATCTGAAATAATCCACACATATGTCCCTGGTGGTCCTTGTAAACAATTTTCTTTGTTGTTGTTGTTGTTTGATTATGTCCTTGAAAAAAACAAAAACTCCAGGGATATGAGCCTTATACAGGGTGAGAAAAAAAAAACCTGCAACAAAGACATACGCCATAATTTTTACATTTTTTGTTTGAAAGCAAAAAATGTCGGAAATGCATCAAATTTTAGAATAAGTTCACATTTGTTCGAATTGTTCACCTTTGGCACGAATTATGACCAATGAAACCGTCATTCGCTGGCCGAATGTTGCTCTGCGGTATTTTGGCCCATTCTCGGCAAAGCGCTTGCTTGAAGTGATCGACACTTTGGTATTTTTTAGAGCCAACCTTGCTTTCCAAAAACTCCAGACACAATAGTCCAACGGACAACCTCCAGAATATTTTCGCGATAATATTCGGCATTTATTCTGATGCCACGGTCGATTAATACGAGCGAAGAGCGACCACTGCGACTCGGCTTTCTGTCAAGACGCTTCTTTACTTTTCGAACCATTTCTGCTGATGTTGCTGTTTTCTTCCGTAGCTTTCTTGGAAATGTAGCTAAAATCATCAAAATAACGAATATAGAAAGGTATCGTTATATGAGGGGGATGTACGATATCCTGGACCTATATAGACAATACTCTTCCCGGGGGTAAAGTACTCAGAAGGAAGTCATTTTGTGAATTTTGCAGACAATGTCATTGAAAAGTTTGGCTACAATCATCAAAATACCGAATATCGGGCGGTACCGTTATATGGGGGCTATACGTTATAGTGGACCGATATAGCCCATCTTCGAACTTGCCCTGCCTGCAGACAAAATACTGATCTGTGCAAAATTTTAGATTCCTATCTTTATTCATTTTGACTCTAGCGTGATTAAAATAGATGGTCGGACAGATGAATGGACAGACAAAGCTAAATCGTTTTAGAATTTTACGCTGAAAATTATAAGATAAAATTATTATTTCGATGAGTTACAAACGGAATGATGAACTTAATATACCCTCCATACTATGTTTGGTGGAGGGTATAAATATGGAGGTGGGCCCAACACTCAATACTGCTTATTTTATTTTTCAATGTTTTTTTTTACCTCATGTTGGAGGGTATTAAAAGTTTGGCCTGGCCTACCATTTTTTGCTTGTTAAGTTCAGCATTAGTTCATGCATTTTTATTTTTTTTTAACAAATCTTAATTTTTTTTTTTAAATCCTTAAAAATTTTTTCCTTGGGAAAATATATTTTAGGAGATCTTGTGGAAATATTAATTCTTGAAAAAATTAAAATTTTCTATTTTACTTTGCTATTGCTTCCCACAATGGGTTAAGATTTCTTAAGCAAATCTGGTCGTTAATAATTTTTTTTTTTTTTTTTTTTTTTTTTTTTTTTTTTTTTTTTTTTTTTTGTAAAAATCAGTTAATTTATTGTCCACACCAGCCAACTGCCGCCATGGCATATATTTATTTGCCCACCGTTGTTGTTGTTGCATTTTTGTTTTGTTTTTTTATTTTTTTTTGTTTCATAGAATGTGTGTGTAGGTTTTTGTAGAAACATGTTTTTCATCCCATTATTGTAATGGTTGTTGTTGTTGTTGTTGGTGTTGCTGCTGCTGTCGTCATATTCATTGTCGTCGGGCTCCCAGTAAACAATTTTTTCCGACTGCTCTGATTTTAGATTTTTTTCCGAAATTTCTGACGTTTTTTTCAGAAATTTCTGATAGAAATTGGTCCGATTTTCTAAACGTTTTTTTTTAGAATTTCTGCACATTTTCCTGTGTTTTTAAGCGAAAAAAACTCGAAAAATGTACAAACGGAGAGAGTAGATTGTCTATTGCTCTGGCATATTTTCTCCCACATGTAAACGGATGGTAGTGGTTTGACACATTCTCTCCCATAGTAGTTGTTGTTGTGATCATTCATTTCAAGATCTCAACAACAACAAAGCGCAAAGCAAAAATGCTATTTGTTATTGTTATTGTGAACAGTTAGATTTTCCGTTGTAAAAATGTGCGTTTTGTTGTTGTTGTGAATCAGCCTCTTTCTCTTTCGTTCCCAAAAAAATATGATGGAAAATTTTATTCCGAATTTTCTTTCGAATTCTGACCGATTTCTTTTAGAAAATCTGAATATTCCGCCGAATTTCCAGACGAATTCTGCCCGATTTCTTTCAGAAATTCTGAGTTGTCCTCCGAATCTTTTCCGAAAATCTAATTTTTTCTCCTATTTTTTCAAGAATTTTCACCGAATTCGGACCGAATTCGTCCAGAAAATCTAATATTTTTTCAGATTTTTTTCAGAAAATCTTTCCAAATTCGGTGACCACGTCCATACAACTTTCGTACCGAAATCGGAAGGAATTCGGAATCAGAATCGGACATTTTTTCTGAGATTCTGACAGAAATCGGACCGAATTCGGCAAAAATTGTTTACTGGGCTGTTCACACATCCATAGCCGCTACGGTCACCAACACCTTTTCTTTTGATTTAGAATGTAAGATTGCTTATTTTTTTTCCTATAATATTTGAATGATCGATTTTGTTGGATGGATGAATGGCTGACTGGCTTTCTGGCTGACTGGCCGGATGGCTGGTAGGCCGGTTGGTTGTTTAGCTGACTGCTTGTTTGATTTTTTGGATTTTGATTCATATCGCATTTTCATTCCAACACTATACAAAAAATGAATGATTTGTTTGAAATATACCTCCTACTTCTCCATGTCTATGCTCTTCCCACCCCTCCCCTCTCTCTCCTCTCCTCATCGCTTAATTGTGAATCAATAGAAATAATTTGCATTTCTGCTTTTTCAGAATTTGGCTCTGACGACAACACAACACAACACCAAGAAAGCCGATAGAGCATTATTGTTTGAGGTGATAAAAAAGCAAACGAAGCTAACTAATAAAATAAACAAGAAAAACAAAAGGCCAAGAAATATAGTCATCATCTCATTGGCCACATCTTCAAAGGAGAGAGAGAGTGAGAGAGAGAGCAAGGAAACCGAAATAAATTTCCAATTGATTGCTGTTGTCGTCGTCATCTCTGTCACGAGGAGGAGGAAACAAAACCGTTCACTACCAAAGTAAATTCTCAGAGCAAGTGGCAGTAGCTCTTCTTGTCATCAATTCCATCCAACTCTCCATCGTCATCATCATCGTCAGCAACAACAATAAAAAAACACCTGCTCGTTTCATTTGGTGCTAATTTATGCTCTATGAATGTTCTTCAATGAGTACCAAGAGGAAATAGAGAAAGTTACACAAAGAGATAGAGAGAGAGAGAGTAAATGCAACATACTGAGAATTAATTGCCTAGGTGAAGGAGAGGAGTTAGTTTGAACAACGTGCCATCAAATCCATCAAATTTAATTGAAACGAAGACAGAAAAAGTCAAGTGAAAAAAACCATGGAAGCTTAGCAAACGCAGCGAATTATCAACAACAACAACAATCAGCAGCACTAGCAACAATAATAAAAACAACACGGAACGGATCGAGCGAGCAACCGATCGATCGACAACCGAACATTCAGCCAGCCAGTCAGTCAGTCAGCCAAACAATCAACCCAACCATCATTTCAAACAAAATCTAACACGCACCAACGACGCAACAGCAGCAACAACAACAAATACATGTAATCAAATGCAATCCCTCCATTAAATGCACTACTACAACAGCAACAGTAACAACAACAACTACTACTACTACTTCACAACAGTAAACCTACAACTACAACAATTCATCATTGCAATAATAAACAACAGCAGCAACAACAAAAACAACAACACCAGCAAAGAGAGAGGTATGCATGCATGCTAATTGTGCAATTGTTGGCCATTACAACACAACGACGATATGCAACACACACGCACACACATATCACAATCACACACAATCTCTGGGTTTCACTGCACTTTATTGTTTTGTTAGCAGTCAGCCAGCCAGCCAGCTAGCTAGCAACAGCTGCTGCTGCAACAACCACGATATCAGTGTGATAAGTCTCCATGGAGTATACGGATTAAATGTGTGAGATTACAGAGACAGCCAGGGCAAAAGATATGAAAAAAGCGACCTCTCCCCGAGTGCCACAAAGATAACATAGTTGTTATTTGATTAGGTCCTGTGGGTGACATAAATAAATCTTTGGAATAGATATGGGTTTGAATATTTTGTAATTAGAATGCGGAAATAAGATAACCTCTGTATATAGATTAGCTGCAGGTCAAAAGGTATTTTTTATAGAGATGAAAGGAATACCTCCAAAGAGGGGACTTGGTAAATGTTCAACATTTCTACAGTAGCAGGTCTTAAAGAGAAGTTCTTCAGTTACGGAAGACTTTTTACACAGGTCAATAAATTATAGAATACCCCTTTAGCGATATAATGTACATGCAGATCAAATTTTTCCAGTCGAAAAAGACTAGATGAGGAACGTCTGCCCATAGAATATTTTTTGGAGGTCATTTGTATATAGAATCCCTATTTATCCTCCGATATACTATGTAGGGTATATTAACTTTGTAACTCCTTCAGATACTCATGCTAAACCCTACAAATTAGTGTAAAATTGTACAGGGTTGCCCATATTCGACGGACCCATCTGGCAACGCCATAACTTTTGACAGAGATGTCACATCGCTTAATGACATACAGCGTTTGAAGCGTCAGTCCAAGCAGATTTTTACCATGAACCAATACACGCCACGTGAGCGCTCTGAAATAGTTGAAATTTACAAGAAGTCAATTGTGAAAACTCAACGTGCTTTTAAAACATTAAAAAATGAGAGAAGTGCGCCTTCTAAGAACACCATTAAGCGTTTATACGAAAAATTTTCGACTGGTAAGGCTCTTTCTAATCCGAAGAGGCCATATAAAAGTCGACCAAGGCGATCGGCCGAGAATATCGCTGCCGTACGAGCCAGTGTTGAGAGGTCCCCAAGAACATCCCAAAAACGCCGTTCTCAGCAGTTGGGCATGGCTCGGTCCACTTTACAACGGATTATTCCCATTGATTTGCATTTGTTCCCGTACAAAATTTAATTGACGCAAAGAAAGTTGCCTGCGGACAAGCCTCGTCGATTGGAATGGGCCCAAAGGTCCGTCGAATATGGGCAACCCTGTATGTCGATGTAGCTATCGTTCGAACGAATTGATATAAGTAGGCATGTTAAGTTCGTACATTTGCATAAAACCCCATTTAAAGTAACCTCTCGATATTCGATATTTTAGGAATTTAAGCCACATTTTGTAACGGAATAGCTTAAAATTCGTTTCGTGGAGTTCTTAATGGATTCTATCTCTTGTGGCGGGACATTGTCTATATAAATCCAAGTTTTCCTGTAGCCCCCATTCCTCCAGATATTCGGTATTCTGGCGATTTAAAACACATCAAACAGAAGTGTTTTAAATTCGATAATTAGAGATCGTAATGCGTTCTACAGCCTTATGAAAAGATGACTTTTTTGCGGGGTTTGTTATATTGAGTTTGTAATGGGATCAATCTCCTGCGACAATAGTCTTCTTGAATAGATCCATATTTTCTTATGTTCCCCATAAAGTAGTACCTCTGAATATTTGAGCCTCATTTTTGGTATTTCAATCTGGCGATTAGTAAAATCTTCTCTAGCCGGAAATTGGTTTCTCATTTTGTTGCAGCCTTTTGGAGGGCAAAATAGTTCGGACCAGTGGAATTTAATTTGTTACGTTTTTAGATAAACCCCCCCCCCAATTAAGGCTTCCTGAATATAGAAATCATTTTAAAGATCTCATGGAATAATTAATACAGTCAAGACCTGCCTCATCGAAATAACGGTTTTAGACCCTAAGTCTCTTTGGTTCAAATCCGTTTCCGGACATTTGGATTCGATTTAGCGATGTCCTCCGTCCGTCTGTCTGGCTGGCTGGTGCACTCGAAGGGAGTATTCGATTTGATCCAAACTTGGAACATTGTAATATTATTGTCAAACTTAGATCGAGTTCGGAGATGACCGATATCGGTGCACTCCTTCTGGTACCTCTCCCATAAAATGTCGACATTTTCAAAAAATATATTTTCTGCACAGAAAGAGAAAGGATAATTCGATTTTGCTCCAACTTTGAAAATCCTAATATTTACCTCAGTGCTAGGTCAGGTGCGAAAATAGACAATATCGGTCCACTCCCTCCATTACCTCCCCCACAAAGGCTCAAAATTTTGAATAATTATAATTCTTATAAAATGTGATGTTAGAGTCCAAATCACTTCAAATTACACATATCACAATATATTTATTACCCCCAAGGTCTGGTGTGAAGATGGAATATATCGGTCTACACCTTCTGGTACCTCCCCCACAAAAGGTCAAAATTTTAAATATTCATGAAGCTCATAAAACACGAAATTAATATCCGATTCCCCTCAGAATTGGCACATCTTAATATTTGCATCAACATAAGATCTGTTAAAAAGATGGTAGAGATCGCACCATTTCTTCTAGTACCTCCCACACAAAGGGTCAAAGTTTTAAATAACTAAAACGATCATAAAATCCCAAATATGCTTCCGGTTGTCTTCAAATTACACACATTAAAATATTTTTATTAAGACATCGTCTGGTGTGGAGATGGGATATATCGGTCCACTCCTTCTGGTACCTCCCCCACAAAGGGTCGAAATTTTGAGTACCAATGAAGTTCATAAAACGCGAAATTAAAACATCCGATTCCATTCAGACTTGGCACATCTCAATATTTCCATCAACATAAGATCTGTTAAAAAGATGGTAGAGATCGGACCACTTCTTCTAGTACCTCCCACACAAAGGGTCAAAGTTTTGAATAACTAAAACGATCATAAAATCCCAAATAAGCATCCGGTTGTCTTCAAATTACAGTCCACTCCTTCTGGTACCTCCCCCACAAAATGGTCAAAAATTTGAATATCCATGAAGGTCATAAAACGCGAAATTAACATCCGATTCCATTCAGAATTGGCATATCTAAATATTTCCATCAATACAAGTTCTGTTATAAAGATGGCAGAGATCGGACCAATCCTTCTGGCACCTCCCCCACAAAGGGTCAAAGTTTTAACTAACCAAAACGTTTATAAAACCCGAAATAAGCATCAGGTTCTCTTTATTTTTCACACATACAAACATTTTTGCTAACACAAGATCTGGTGTACCCCTTCTGGTACCTCACCCACAAAGGCCACTGCAGTATCAGATAACTGAGCTAAGGATGGGAGGGATAACAGTTTTTCTGACTATTGTAGACTATGTGAAGATGAAGAAGAGGTCGAGATGATTGAACATCTACTATGTAGATGGTCCCATGTTATCAAACAGGATACATAGGCTACTCGAGATGTAAAATCGGACGGTCTTTTAGACATAGTTCCATCATCATCATCATCTATTGGCTGGCTAAAAGTATCAACTGGTGGCTAGACAAAGCAGCCTACTGCTAAAACGCTCCTAAAACCATTCTTTTTTCACTGCTATGTCTTCCGTTTTCTTTCCACCACTAATTATTCCTTCCAAGGATGAACACAATGGCACAAAGGTCTCTACGTAAGACAGCTGTCGATAACTGTTTAGCTGCGGCGCATTTTTAAACCAAACCAACCAATCTAGGATATGTCAGGTTGGGTTTCAGGATGTCCAGCTACACTTGAGTCGGTAGGTAGCTGCTTTATTCGGTCCACATTGTGTTCATCCTAAGAAGAATTAGTTATGATTGGAAAAATATAAATTGAGAAAGAACGGCTTACCTGGATGATAATGGGATCTACGTTTGCGAGGAGATCGTTAAATTGCCTATCCCTCACATACCAAACAGTCTATGTCTTTTGCTTGACAACGTGGGACATCTGTATCTGTAGGTCTTCAATCGTCTCACAAAGTTGACGGTGGTCTGGACCACTGTTATGCCATTGTGAAGGTAAATTACCTGATACTGCAGTGACCAGTCAATAAACCTTCTGCAATTCCTAGACTTGCTAATTGATAAAAGGCAACAGGAACTTCTCGAAAAATATCCGGCCAGATAAGCTTCGATAAAAGCGGTTTCCAAGTTTCATATTCTACCAGCTTTTACTCGATAAGAACATTTTTGAAGCAGCTTCCAGAATATTTTGTGATTTTTATATCCTCCACCATACTATGGAGGGTATATTAATTTTGTTATTCCGTTTGTAACTCCTCGAAATACTCATGTCAGACCCAACAAAGTATATATATATATATTCTTGATCAGCGTAAAATTCTAAATCGTCTTAGAATGTCCGTCTGTCTGTCCGTCTGTCTGTATGTCTGTCTGTTGTAATCACTTTCGAACAAATTGAGATACAAGGCTAAAATTTTGCACACATGTATATTTTGCCAGTAGGCAGGTTAAGTTCGTAAATGGGCCATGTAGGTCCAAGTTATCATATAGCCCCCATATAACAATACCTCCCGATATTCGGTATTTTGATGATTTTAGCGACATTGTTCACCGGAATTGTTTCCAATGTGGCATTTGAAGTTCGTAGTGGATACTACAGCCTAAGAGAGAAAATTATCTGTACAGGTCCACGTCTTCGTATAGCCCCCATATAACGGTACCCCCCGATATTCGGTATTTTGATGATTTTAACGACATTATTTACCGGAATCGTTTCAAATTTGGTATTTGAAGTTCGTAATGGATACTACATCCTAAGTCAAAAAATGAGCCATGTAGGTTCACGTCTTCATATAGCCCCGATATAACGATACCCCCCGATATTCGGTATTTTGATGATTTTAGCGACATTATTTTATGGAATCGTTCCAAATTTGGTATTTGAAATTCGTAATACATACTTCCGCATAAAACAGAAAATGGGCCATGTAGGTCCAGGTATTCGTATAGTCCCCATATACCGTACCCCCCGATATTCCGTATTTTGATGATTTTAGCGACATTATTTACCGGGATTGTTTCAAATTTCGCATGTGAAGTTCGTAATGGAAACTTCAGCCCATGGCAGAAAATTGTCTGTGCAGGTCCACGCCTTCGTATAGCCCCCATATAACGGTACCCATTATATTCGGTATTTTGATGATTTTAGCAACATTATAAACAGATTTTTCTTCAAGTTTCGCATTTAAATATTGTAATAACTTATGACAAAAGTTGCCTATGCAGGTCTACATCGTCGTATAGGCATTCAGTTGTTTTAAGATTTTAACAGAATTTTAAACGGATTTTTTTTTTGGAAATTGCCAAATTTGTACCAAATGGTGGAGGGTATTTTAAAAGTTCGGCACGGCCGAACTTACAGCTTTTTTACTTGTTTGATAGTGTCATATATCGTTAGACCCTTCGACCGGGAACTACATCGCGCTAATTCATTAGCCATTTCATTCCTCACAATGTTGCTATGTCCTGAGACCCTATAAAGGCTAATTAATTCAAGTATTTCAAAGATTTCTATTGCGAAATCTAATGAGATTTGTCGGGTTCGCAAGGATATCGATGCAAACGTCATCGACCTCGACTTTAAAATGGCACCTTATTCGAGAGTTGTCCCATCTCTAGGTTGTCAATAATAAATAACTCAATTTAAGTTGTTTCATTTTCCAACAACAATTTTCGAGGCTCTAAATTACGTCGTAATCTAGAACCCAAAATACAGATCCTTCGTCCTTGTGGGAATCTGTACAATATTTCAATTTCAATATGAGATTTGTATTGTAATATCTTCTTGTTTTGTAGTATTCCATGAAAAATTGCCAAATGCCATTCCAGGCCCAAATTCCACGTCTGTCCAAAAGCAATTCCTATCTATTTTTGGGTAAAACACAATGAATAATCTCATTGCTCATGGCCGCCAATATTTGTTTATATATATTATTTGTCTTTACGCTTAGGAAACAAGTGTCTACATCGTCCATAAATTTCAGAATAAAAGTTCAAAATGTGCAAATGTTTCGAATGCATTTCAATATCAATTCATCATCATCGCTGGTGTGGTGTGGTGTGTGGTATACGCTCAATGAATGTACCGACATGGCGTAATATTTTCAAATTGCGTCACCAGAAAAATATATATTAACAACGACTGTTAGAGAAAATTATTTTCCGATTTCCGCTTGAGAGAAGACCATCCGAGCGACTTAGCATTGCAATAGAACATCTTGAGAATACACATATTTTTCGATGATGAGGAGGGATAAAAAAACAAACAATAGAAAATCAATTGTTTTCTTTTTCTTTATTCTTTGTTTACCGAGGCATCGCGCAGAAAACATGTTGTTTTTCCCTCCATGACATTGAGAATTGTTAAGGTTCTTTTTTGCTATTAAATATCTTCCATCTTTTTTGCAGATTTTGCAAGCAAATAAAAAAAATAATTTACATGAGGAGATACTTTTGAAAAAATCAACAACACAACAAAGTAGCGGCAGCAAGCGGATCACAATTACGACCACTAGCGACAGCAGCAGCAGCAACAAGTTAATAAACAGCGGGCGGCTTTAACGCCACCAAACAACACCTAAACACAATTAAAAGTTGATTAGTGGCGGTAGCAGCAGCACAAAAACACACATAAACAAAAAGAACAACAACAAACAAACAATAATAACAAAAACAACAACAACAGAAGAAAACACAGAGAAAAAATGTCATCGGGAACATTTGTTGATCGAATCGATCCATTCGCCAAACGTTCACTAAAAAAGAAAAGTAAAAAGAGTCAAGGTTCCTCGCGCTATAGAAATTCACAGGATGTGGAACTACAACAATTGCCGGCATTGAAGGGTATGTAAATGTATTTAAATTTTTGTAATTTGTTAATAATAATTCTCCTTCTTTCCACTTCTATTTCGCAGCCGATTGTTCTAGTTTGGAGCAAGAAGAATTATTCATTCGCAAATTGCGCCAGTGTTGCGTTTCATTTGATTTTATGGATCCTGTGACAGATTTGAAGGGCAAGGAAATCAAACGAGCCGCCCTCAATGATTTATCCACCTATATAACACACGGTCGAGGCGTACTTACAGAGGCGGTGTATCCTGAAATTATTCGTATGGTAAGAAAGGCACAAACCTACCCAATGTTATTTCCATAAAAAGTGGTCTGGGGATTTGGGAAAAATGACCAATGAAAAAAAAAAGTCCCAAATGTCTCTTCGTTGACGGCGAATTACAAATGAGTCAATTAAGTATTCCATGAAAAGACTTCAGGATAGGGGACCTATTGAACTTATCTAAAAGATATTGACAACTTGAAGGTAAACATGGCATATTTCTTCATACAAATGGGGTTGAATGAATTCCAAATCAAATGTCAAACTCAGCCAACTGCTTTCAGCTTTCGAGTGGTACAAAAACATTACAAACATTTCGGAAAAGTCGTTGCAAAATGGTCAGGCTTAATCCCTTTATTGTTGTTTTTTATAAAAACAATGTTTGGTAATGTTTACCAGGGGGTAAGACAGGGAATACCTAGGTTTCGGAAAGAGTTATTAATCCTCATCAGTTCCCCTGTTTTTTTTTTCTAGGATATTTATTTTAAAAAACAACTTCTATGACAAAAAACTATTGAGCTTACGATCTCGTCACTTGGGTAAAAAAGTTTCACTGACAGATGTATACCCTCAGCCAATGTTCGAAGTTTATACCCTCATCCATATGGCTAGAGAGAGGCTTTATATCATTTGATACGGCCAAAACGTGCCTTATCGAAATAACGGTTTTAGACCCTAGGTCTCTTTGGAACAAATCTATTCAGGACATTTGGAGTCGATCTAGCGATGTCCGTCCGTCCATCTATCTGTCTGGCTGGCTGGTGCGCATGATAGCTCTCGAAGGGAGTATCTGATTTGATTCAAACTTGGTACATTGTAAAATGTCAAGATTTTCAATGAAAATAATTTCCTGCACAGAAAAAGAAAGGATAATCCGATGTTGCTCTAACTTTGTAAATCCTAATATTTACATCAATGCTAGGTCAGGTGTGAAAATGGACAACATCGATCCACTCCATCCAGTAGTTCCACCACAAAGGGTCAAAATTTTGAATAATTATAACTTTTATAAAATGCGAACCGATACTTGCGGATTATCTTCAAATTACGCACATCGCAATATTTTTATTTACCCAAGGTCTGGTGAAAAGATGGAATATATCGGTCAACTCCTTCTGGTACCTTCCCCAAAAAAAGTCAAAATTTTGAATATCCATGATGCTCATAAAATGGGTAATTAATATCCGATTCCCTTTAGACTTGGTACATCTCAATATTTCCATTAACACAAGATATGTTATAAAGATGGTAGAGATCGGACAATTTCTTTTGGTACCTCCCCCACATAGGGTTCAAGATTTTGAAACACAAAACTCTCAAAGAAAGTGAAATAAGTATCCAGTTCTCTTCATATTTCACACATCCCATTTTTTCTGCTAATACAACATCTGCTATGAAGATGGAATATATCGGTCCACTCCTATTGGTACCTTCCCACAAGGGGTCGAAATATTTAATATTCATGAAGCTCATAAAATACGAGATTGGCATACGATTCCATTCAGAATTGGCATATCTCAATATTTCCATAAACATAATTTCTGTTATAAAGATGTTAGAGATCGGTCGATTTCTTCTGGTACCTCCCCCACAAAGGGCAACAGTTTTGAAAAAGCAAAACGATTATAAAATCCGACATAAGTATCCGGTTCTCTTCTTATTTCACTCATCCCATTATTTCTGCAAACACAAGATATGCTATAAAGATGGAATATATCGGTCCACTCCTTGTGGTACCTTCCCCACAAAGGTTCAAAATTTTGAATATCCATGAAGCTCATAAAATACAAAATTGGCATACGATTCCAATCAGAATTGGCACATCTCAATATTTCCATCAACACATGATCTGTTATAAAGATGGCATAGATCGGACCATTCCTTCTGGTCCTCCCTTACAAAGGGCAACAATTTTGAAAAATTATAAAATCCGAAATAAGTATCCGATTCTCTTCATATTTCACACATCCCATTTTTTCTGCTAACACAAAATCTGCTGTGAGGATGGAATATATCGGTCCACTCCTTGTGGTACCTTCCCCACAAAGGGTCGAATATTCTCATATTTAATATTCATGAAGCTCATAAAACATGAAATTAACATCCGATTCCAGTCATACATGGCACATCTCAATATTTCCATAAAAATAAGTTCTGTTATAAAGATGGCATAGATCGGACCATTCCTTCTGGTACCTCCCCCACAAAGGGTCAAAGTTTTTAATAACAAAAACCACCTAAAATGCGAAATAAGCATCCGGTTCTCTTCAAATTATACACATCACAATCTATTTATTAAGCCAAGGTCTGGTGTGAAGATGGAATTCATCGGTCAACACCTTCTGGTACCTCCCCCATAAATTGTTCAATATTGGCAAACTGCTTGTCAACTCTATTCTCTATTCGGTGATGAGAAAGAAATACAACCGAATGGTTTGGCTATTGATTAAATTCTCGATCCGGCTCGAAGGACCAATGTATGTGAGAATAGAATCCCATCTCCCTCTTCGATTGTCAATTCTATTCCTGGATCCTGCTTAGAGGATTAATGTTTTTAAAAATGAGTATAGAGTCCAATCCCCTCTTCGTTTGTCAACTCTATTCTCTATTCGGCTCGACTGGAGCAATGTGGAGTGAGAAAAGAAACTGATCGCTTCGCTTGGATTGTAATTCAATTCTGATTTTATTTCAAAAATATGTTTCTTAAGTGCTACAAAAACTAATCTAACTTAACCTAATCGCAGCCGCATAATTATTCGAAATTATTATTTAATTATTGAATTATTATCCCTCACCTTTCAGATTTCATGCAATTTGTTTCGTACATTGCCACCAAGTGAAAATCCAGATTTTGATCCCGAAGAAGATGATCCCACTTTGGAGGCATCTTGGCCGCACCTACAATTGGTTTATGAGGTATTCTTGCGGTTTCTCGAATCGCAAGATTTCCAGGCTACCATAGGCAAACGTGTTATTGATCAAAAGTTTGTTTTACAAGTGAGTGTTTTCTAGTCCAGTCACGTTTTCAATATTCAATTCAATATTTCTTTGTTTTTCTCACCCCCACCAGCTTTTGGAACTTTTCGATTCGGAAGATCCACGTGAACGTGATTTTTTGAAAACGGTTTTGCATCGTATTTATGGCAAATTTTTAGGTTTACGAGCATTTATAAGAAAGCAAATCAATAATATATTTTTGCGTTTTATCTATGAAACGGAGCATTTTAATGGTGTCGGTGAATTACTGGAAATTCTGGGAAGGTAAGCAAGGATGGATGGCACATTAAATATTGAAATTTTTAATTTACCCTGTTTTTTTTTTCTTTTTCTTTCCATAGCATTATCAATGGTTTCGCTCTACCGCTTAAAGCCGAACATAAACAGTTCTTAGTTAAGGTCTTGCTTCCTTTGCACAAAGTGAAATGTCTATCGCTGTATCATGCTCAGTTGGCCTATTGTATTGTACAATTTCTCGAAAAGGATCCATTTTTAACGGAGCCCGTTGTACGAGGCCTTTTGAAATTTTGGCCAAAGACCTGTTCGCAAAAGGAAGTGATGTTTTTGGGCGAAATTGAGGAAATACTCGATGTGATTGATCCACCTCAGTTTGTCAAAATTCAAGAACCACTATTTCGTCAAATCGCCAAATGTGTATCGAGTCCTCATTTTCAGGTGAGTTGCGGAAAAAGATTTCACTTTGCTTTAAATAATTGTTATAACTCCCTTCATTTTAGGTTGCCGAGCGTGCTCTTTATCTGTGGAACAATGAATATGCTATGTCCCTAATTGAAGAAAACAATGCCGTCATAATGCCCATCATGTTCCCGGCATTGTATCGCATTAGCAAAGAACACTGGAATCAAACAATTGTGGCATTAGTCTATAATGTATTAAAGACTTTTATGGAAATGAATTCGAAATTATTCGATGAACTTACCTCCAGTTACAAATCGGAGAGGCAAAAGTAAGTGGGAGAACAGCATAATGGAATATACAAAAAATAGATGACATATTTCGCAAGTTATGAGAGCATTGAAAATTGTGATCTTTTGTGGAGAAGGTACTAGAAGTAGTGGACCGATATATCCCAACTTCATAGCAGATCTTGTGGAGGAAGAAATATTGAGATGTGCGAAATTTGAAGAGAATCGGTTGCTTATTTCGTGTTTGTCGAAGGTCTTGATTGTTCGAAATTGTAAAGCCTTTGTGGGGGAGGTATTGCAAGGAGTAGGCCGATATATCCCATCTTCACACAAGATTTTGTGTTGACAGAAATATTGGAATGTGTGAAATTTGAAGAGAATCGGAAGCTTATTTCGCATTTTAGGAGCGTCTTTGCTATTCTTAATTTTTTACCTCTCTGTGGGGGAGGTACAAGAAGTAGTGGACCGATATCTACCATCTTCACACCAGATTTTGTATTGACAGAAATAATGGGATGTGTAAATTTTGAAAATAATCGGAAGCATATTTCGGATTTTATGAGCGTTTTAATTATTCAAAATTTTGACCTCTTTGTGGGGGAGATACTAGAAGGAGTGGACCGATACATTCCATCTTCACACCAGATTTTGTGTTGATAGAAATATTGGGATGTGTAAAATTTGAAAAGAATCGGATTCTTATTTCGCTTTTTATGAGCTTCATGGTTATTCAAAATTTTAACCTCTTTGTGGGGAGGTACCAGAAGGAGTGGGCCGATATGTCCCATCTTCACGCCAGATTTTGTGTTGATAGAAATATTGGGCTGTGTGAAATTTGAAAAGAAACAGATGCTTATTACGCTTTTTATGAGCTTCATGGTTATTCAAAATTTTAACCTCTTTGTGGGGGAGGTACCAGAAGGAGTGGGACTATATCCTTCATCTTCACATCAGATTTTATGTTGATAGATATATTGGGATGTGTGAAATTTGAAAAGAATCGGATTGTTGTTTCGCATTTTATGACAATTTGGGTTATTCGAAATTATAACCCCTTTGTGGGGGAGGTACAAGAAGTAGTGGACCGATATCTACCATTTTCACACCAGATCTTGTGTTGATAGAAATATTGGGATTTGTAAAATTTGAAAAGAATCAGATGCTTATTTTGCTTCTTATGAACTTCATGGTTATTCGAAATTTTAACCTCTTTGTGGGGGAGGTACCACAAGGTGTGGGCCAGATTTTGTGTTGATAAAAATATTGGGATGTGTGGAATTTGTTTATTTTTTATTGAATATTGACTAACTTTTAATTGTTTCATTTTTTGTCTTTTTTCCAGAGAGAAGAAACGCGAACGAGATCGTGAGGAACTCTGGAAGAAACTACACGAATTGGAGCTCAATCGTACAAAGAGCTTACAGGCAGCAAATCCAACAACAAATGCTAGTGGTGCCTCAACAACAGCCGGTGGTGGTGGCGGTAGCAATGCCAACAGTCAACAGCAGCAGAACACAAATTCGCAACAATCGAATAGTAGCAGTGCCGCCGCCGCAGCAGCAGCCGCCAATGCCCTGGGAGCTTCGGGCGATAATAAATCAGCGTCAAGCGGTGGCAGCGGTTCGGCGCAAGCTGCTGGCGTTAATCCCTTTGCCAAAATCAAAGCGGAAAAGGTTGAGAACTAAAGAAGTAGAAGAAGAAGACGCTTCATCATTGTGTTGTTGAGGATGACTCAAGTGCAGCAGAACACCACAACAAAAGCAAAAAATAAGAAAACAACAACAGCAACAACAGTAACGAGTATAAGAACATTTTACGGCAAAAATATAAAACAACAACAACAACACGATCACATCAGGAAATATTCAAATAAATCGTATTAATTCAAAACTGTTATAAGCCTATTAGGTAACAAAAAAAAAAAAACAAAACAAAAAACAAAAACAAGAAAAACAAAACATCATTAAATAGAGCGTAGAGCGCCTGTTACAGAGAAACCTAAAGAGAAAAAAATCTATCTATTATATATATTGAAAAAAAAAAATAAGAAAAGAAAATTAAAGTAAAATATAAAAATAAAATTAAAATTAAATCTTAAGAAACGAGCTATACAACAACAACAACAAGAAGAAACAACCAACCAACACACATACACCCCCTTTACAAAAATTCAAAGAGGATTAAGTGTAGCCTGCCTAATTTTTAAGCAAATATGGAATGAAATGGTTATTGAAAGCAAGCTGAGCTGGGAAAAGGCAAAAGGGAAGAGAAGAGGAACGAAGTAGCCAGCAGCAGCAGCTGAAGAAAAAAGGTGGGCCGTCGTCGTCGTGTAAGCAACTTCTAATATGATTTAACTTATGCCTATTTAATTATTAATTAAACAAAAAAAACAAACAAATAAAAATGAACATAATGAAACAAAACAAAAAAACCTACAAATAAACTCATTTACATTTACAAATAAAAAAACAAAACAAAAAAGAAAATGGAAAGAAATTGAAAAGTAATTTTTAGAAAAGTAAAACACACCTATATATTATACAGAGAAACAACAACATCCCCGGAAATGAAATGTTACAAAGCAGCAAGGATAGATAAGAGAAGGAACCAACAACCACACCAATCAATAACAACAAACAACAACATCAACATGTAGACAAGGCCAAAAACCAAACTTTCCCCCCCATCGGACCCCTCGTTAAATAAAAAATAAAATAAAACAAAAAAGAAATATAACTCAAGTCTGGAGTCTAACCGCAGATTTGATTGAGATACAGCTTTTGCTACAGTAAAAAAATAAACATTAACAATATAATAATAACAATTATTATTATAAATATAATTATTATTATTTTATATAATACAAAAAAAAAAAAAAAAACAAAAAAGAAATAAATTCGAAATTGGAAAACAGAACATTAAAAAAAATGAAAGTAAATAAGCTATTTAAAAAAAGCTGAATAATTAAAAGAAAAAAAAAAAAAGAAAAAAAAATGGAAATTCTAAAATTGTTGTATAAGTGCAGTATAATAATAATAAATAGTAAAAAACAGAACAACTACAATAATAATAGAAAAAGAGAAAACAAAACCACAAAATGATGTAATGAAGAATTATATGATTGAGATATGATTGATGATACTAAATGGACAGATTGTGTGTTAGCAGACATGGTCTAGACTTTAGAACATAACCTATAAAACAATACAAAAAAATCCAACAAACAAGATAAATAAAAAATAATAATAATTATTATATATATAAAAATAGCACTTAAAATAAACAAAAACAAAAAACCCAGGAATGGAAAAGAAAGATGAAGCGAAAGAAAATAAAAATATAAACAGAAAAAAAAAACAATAAAAGAGATAAAAACAAATAACAGAAGATAAATTTTTTTCAAACATTGTTTTTCCACCACAAGATTTTCCTACTCATACACTCACACTCTCTCACACACTCACACACACTTTCTACTTCTACTCCATTAAATTACGTAGTTTTTTCATTTAATTTTTGTTTTTCCTCATTTAAATGCAAAAGTTCAACAACTAATTTCCATTTTGACATTTTTTATTTTCAACTGCAATGAAATCCATTTGTTTTGTAATTTGTTTCCAAAAAAAAAAAAACGAGAAGAAACGTTAATTGTTAGCATTTGTTTTTTATTCTATTCTTTTTTTTTTTGTAAAAAAAAATCTCATTGAACTCAGTCAGCAATTTGTTTCATTTTTGTTTTCTTGCATTCTTTCCCAAATTAAACCAACAAACAAACAAAATGATAAGAAAAAAAAAAACAAAAACAACTACCTATATTATTAATAATTTGTTTTCAATATTTAAATTTTAATAAAAACGAAAAAAAATCAATATGTACATATAAATGTGATTACACCATCAAATTAATACTACCATTATGTTTTTATCATACAGCAACAGCAACAACAACAACAACTCATTATGACGGGGCGGAAGAATGTGGTTTTATTTAATTTTCTTCGTTTTCCTTTTGGGGGGAATGGTGGTTTTACTTTTTCCGGTTTTATTTTCAAAAAATGTTTTATTTATCAATCTACCATCATCTAGTCCTTCTTTTTCTTCCTTTTTTTATTAGGCCGTCTTTTTTAAGTAACTAAGATTATTATACCCTACACCACATAGTGGTAAGGGTATTATGTCTTTGTGCATTTGTTTGCAACATGGAGAAGAAAACGAGATAGACCCATAGTTCCTTTTGGTGATCAGCATAGAATCACATTTTCAGACGATTTATGCATGTCCGTCCGTCCGTCTATCCATGCATTTTCATTCATTTTTGTAAACAATCGCATTTATTATTCGAATGAGATGAAATTTTCTAAATAACATTTGTTTGGCTCAAGGACGAACCCTATTGAAATTGATGAAAATCGGTCCAAATTTAGATATAGCTCCCATATATATCTTCAACCGATTTTAAGTTTTTTCCGCACCAAACGGCTAATATCCGTCCAAATGGTGTGAATTTTGCTACATCTGACCGAATTCAGCCTACAAGCATGTGCTTCAAATTTCAAATGAAAATCGGTTGAGATATAGCTATAGCTCCCATATATATGTTTCACCCGATTTGGTGTTTAAGTCCCTCACATTCGTAATATGCCCTCCACGAGACTGATATTTTGCTCCAGATATCAGGTAGCAATTCATGATTCAAATTTGATCAAGATCGGTTCCGATTTGGATATAGCTCCCATATATATCTTCGTCCGATTTTAGGTTTCTTGTGCACCAAATGGCTAATATCGGTCAAAATGGTGTGAATTTTGCTACATCAGACCGAATTCAGCCTACAAGCATGTGCTTCAAATTTGGAAATCGGTTCATATATAGCTATAGCTCCCATATATATGTTTCACCCGATTTGGTGTTTAAGTCCCTCACATTCCTAATATGCACTCCACGAGACTGATATTTTGCTCCAGATATCAGGTAGCAATTCATGATTCGAATTTGATCAAGATCGGTTCCGATTTGGATATAGCTCCCATATATATCTTCATCCGATTTTAGGTTTCTTGTTCACAAAATGGCTAATATCAGTCCAAATGGTGTGAATTTTGCTACATCAGACCGAATTCAGCCTACAAGCATGTGCTTCAAATTTGGAAATCGGTTCATATATAGCTATAGCTCCCATATATATGTTTCACCCGATTTGGTGTACAAGAATAATATTTGGTACCAGATATCAGATGCAGCCAAGAAATAGCTGTTTTCAATTTTATGAAGGTCGGCTCAGATTTGGATATAGCCTCCATATATATCATTATTCGATTTCAGGTTTACTGTGTACCAAATAGCTAATATTAGACCAAATGGAGTGAATTTTCGAAATTCAACCGAGTTTAGCATAGAAGGAAGAATTTGCTCCCATATATATGTTTCATCCGATTTGGTTTTTAAATCTCCAACTTTCGGAATATGCACTCTACCATAATGATATTTTGTACCAGAACGGAACGTTTCTTTTATATTGGAATTGCTCTTTTATATCAAGTAGATCGTTCATGATACTCCCTGGTGGGGATTCCTTCCTACCATGTATAGGTTTGAGCGATTTCCATGTTAACAGACATGAAGGTGATGCAAAAAATCGTGTGAATATGCTGACGGATGATGAGTACTATAGGCCTTTCTGACAGGGCTGGTGGCACTAGTATTTGCGAACAGAATCGTTTTTTTTCGGTTAAAAATGCAAAATTTATTTCATCTTTTTGTTAAAGACAATAATCCTACTTACCTGACAATCCCATTATAGTTTCCATGAAATAGTTTCTCCAGAATAAAAAGCTAAAAGTGCGTTTTTTTTTTCGAAATAAAAATTTATATTTGTTTTTATCGTGACTAGATTTTCCAATTTTTTAAACAAATTTTTTACATTTCATAGTTTAAATCGAATTTTATATGGAAATAAGAATTGTCGAACGTTTTCGAATGATGTGGCGTGGCGGTTTATCAATTGCCTTTAATTGGGCCAAATGCTATCAATACTATCAGAGGGCCTATGCTGTAATTATACCCTCGGTCATAAGGCTACAGAAGGTATATATCATTTGATACGGCCAAAACTTGCCTCATCGAAATATAAAATCGTAGTATTCGATTTCATTCAAACTTTGTACATCGTAATAATATTATCAAATTTAGATTTAATTCGGATATGGGTCCGGTCCACTTCTAAAACTCTTTGGATATTCGTAAAATGCAAAATGAGTATCCGACTCTTTCCAAACCTGACACACCATTAGTTGACCTACTCCTTCTTATGCCTCCCTCATAAGTGGTCTCCTCCACCAAGGGTCAACATATTAAATAATCATAACGCAAGTCAAAATATGTTTTAATTAATTGACATAGGCTCAGGGTTTGCATCGGTCAGCAAAACCTACTGATACTTTTAACTTGTTATTGCATAAAAGTCGCTTTGGTAATTGTTGAGGACATTTAGGTCACAGTTCAACATTGTTTTTTTTTTTAATTTTTCTGTGAATAATCCAGTTTCGTTGGGACCCCATACAATTCCGCTTAGTATATATTAAGGTAAAACAATAAGAGAAGAAATATTAAACAGGTAAGTCAGGCAGGTATAAAACATAAAGGGTAATTTTTTTATGAGCTATAGTTGAGTTAAAAAAAAAACAGAAACATACAAATAATGGAGTAAGAGAGGTCCAATTGCTGCGAACGCCGACGAATCGATAATTATACCCTCCAATATAGTATGGAGTCATTTCGTTTGTAAAATCCCGAAATATATATTTTAGAGCCTACAAAGTATATATTCTTTATCGGCATAAAATTCTATGTCGATTTAGCTAGCGGTATGTCCGTCTGTGGAAATCACTCTAGCTTTACTTAAATATATATATACTATGTCTGCAGGAATTTTCGTATTGAAAACGGACCATGTAGGTCCAAGTGTAGCCCCCATATAATGGTACCTCCCTAGTTTCGGTATTTTGATGATTTCAGCGACATTATTCAACGGAATCGTATCAAATTCGGTATTTGGAGTTCGAAACGGATACTACAGCCTATGACGGTGCAGGTCCACGGCTTCGTATAGCCCCCATATATAAGGGCACCTCCCGATATTCGGTATTTTGATGATTCATTCATTCATCGGAATTTTTTGACAAAAGTTGCCTATGCAGGTCCACGTTGTTGTATAGACCCTTATATAACGGAAGATATTAACAGAATTTTTTATTAACCTTTTTTTTTTGGAAATTGTTAAATTCGTTCCAAATGCTGGAGGGTATTCAAGGTTAGGCCTGGCCGAACTTAGAGTTTTTTTTACATGTTTTTATTTATGATGGGTATTTGTATGCATGGTCTCTACGGACTTACGTTATTTTCTGGATTCAATAGCGTTACCACAACCCCTCCTATGCCTTGTACATTGTCGTGGTACATACGCCACATAAAGCTATTTCAAAATTCCCATTTAGTATTGCCAAATCGCTTTGGCCTTGCTTGTCTTGGTTTATGGAATGGTAAGTTACAATAACATTTTGCAATATGGCGTTGAGTAACGCTTATTATCAGGTAGGTACAAGCTCCGCTCCATATCATAGTTGGAAATTTTAATGAATTAAGGTGAATTATTTTGGGGAGGAAAAAAATTTCTCTTAACAAAAAAAAAAAATCCGTAAATCCGCCATCTGGTTCCCTGAGTATAGAGTACAAATTATTGTGCAGGATATTTGGTATTGGAAATATTATCTCTACACAATTTTAATATGATTTTCGGTGCAAAAAAAACTGTCAGAAACAAATGTTAAAATAGGTCTATTTCTAAAAAAATACGTTCCATTAATTTTTACTGTAGCGAAACATTTACAACATCTTGCGGTCTCTGTAACGGAGGTGAAATATTATCATTTATCTGTGGATGAATTTGATTGGCAATATCCTGTGCATGGTGTTGTTCTAAATTCAAATTTCCTAACCATAACCCTGATTCCTTATTTCTCTCTATGAGACCAATGAATCCTGGTCAAAAAATATATATTTTTTTTTTATTTCAGAACATACGTTTTGGGGTTTTCGGGAGATAGAAATATTAATTTGTCGGAAATTATCGCCGATAATTTATCGTGGGGGGCTATACCAAAGCCCCGAAATTGATAAATATTCTAAAATATTTATATATTATTTATATTAAAAAAATAAATAGATAAAAAAATAAATAAATAAAAAAATAAATAAATAAAAAAATAAATAAATAAAAAAATAAATAAATAAAAAAATAAAAAAATAAATAAATAAAATAATAAATAAATAATAATAATAATAATAATAATAATAATAATAATAATACTAATAATAAT